TTCAACTATGAATTATGGGATATTTCCTCCTCTTGAGTATGACCAAATATGGTCTTAAAAATCATACAGTCAAACAGATCCAGATATCTGCTATCAAAACAGATGATCATAACATACAATATTATTAAACCACACTATTAATCAACCCTGGTAAATTAGCCATAAAAGCGATACTATCTGGAGATCTGGATTAAGCCAACCAAAAATATGATGGGAATTTAGAATAAAGATGACTCAGTGTTAAAAGTAGTCATGCTTTGATATAACCCTTTTCGAGTGTTGAATTGTGGGCGTTTCAGCTATACTCTTTCAAAAACAGATAATTCTTTGTTATGGCCTAAAAAACTGCTATATCGGTCAACATTAAGCCAAATGATCAGAATTACAGTCACATATTAAAAATGTTATGGGAGTTAGTTGTCAAACTTTTGAAAAGGAGTTTGTCAAAATCTTAGAGGCTATGTAGCGACCCTGAGGACACTCGTCCAGGGAACTGTAGTGTAACATCCCAGATACTGGGGATGAAAGGTGTGCTAAATTCAATGCCCCATGCGGGAATCGAACCTGGGACATTCCGCTCTTGAGTCCGAAGATCTTCTCCTGAGCTATAAGAGTTCACAACAGCTGAGACTATAGTTAGTAACTTGGTATTAAGGGTCAGTATACAGCTCAATTCATTCAAGGGTATTGATCAAGGATCTTTGGCCTCTAGCTCTTTTTAAGAAAAATTAGAAATAATAGTGTTTTAACATGAATGAAGTAATGTCATGTTATGTAATTCCCTTAGGGACCTAGAGAATATCATGTCAAGATATCATTTCTTAGTCATGCCTTTTAATATGTGTTACTCATTTGGAATTGATGTGCAATCTTGAATTAAGTCCATGCCCCAGATCAGTCTTACCTATCAGAGGCGTTCTTAGAAATCAAGAAATCATGGCTAAGAATTTCAAAAAATACTCAGCAATATAAGTAAGTTTATTAATTATATAGTTATATATATTTCTTATTTTGCCAATTTACAATAGGAGCAAATGTTGGGCCCCAAAACTCATTTTGGGCACCATTTTTACAGTTTCATCTTAAAAGAAAGGAGGCATGTCCAGCACTGCCTACTAGCCCTCCCTATTCTTTCCCAGTCAATATAAAATAGGGAAAAGGACCAGATTTTTGATACAAGGAAGTATTTTGACTTTTGTAGTACATTGTATTACTATTTATGACAGTACTGGATAATATACAGCCAAAACTTAAGTAGCCTTAAATTAACAAATATTCCTCGCCAAAAACCATTCATTCACATTTTGAGGGTCAACCAGAAATGACAGAAAAAACATAATACACATACCCCATTTGCACATATTTATCTATAATGTTTCAGATTAAATCTGTGATAGGCCAAGTGCCATCACTTTACATTTAAACTCCAAAAATGCCACGAAAGAAACATTTGAGCTCAATATGATCATATTAGCATCATAACCATCAAACTAGCTGTCATAGTCAGAGTGAAGTGTGATTAGCTGTTTAGGATAAAGGGTATGTAGTCCTTATTGCCACTTGAGTTGTAAACAAGACCACAAGGCCCCTAACAAACTTTACAATCAGCTTTAAATTATAATGATCCAACAAAATATTAAAGATATTTGACAAAAAAGAGAATAATTATGAGAAACATATTTTTGACTTCCCTAGCTTTTTTACAGTTAAAACGTTCTAAATATTATTCAAATACGGTAAGAAAAAATCATTTTTTGTGAGAAACAAATATTTTTGTAAGGGTGGCTGAATTGTGAAGTACTCATTGATTTAAAAAATTGGTAAGATTTTTAAACCACTGTTTTCTTAAACCATGTGTGTAATGATTTAACAAGTAACACACACTGATTTGTTCGATCATGCTGGGAAAACCTGCGTTTGTTTTATTAATTTTGCGAATCTTTCAAAATTTCTATTTACTTGATATAATGCAATATACTTATGTTTATTAATATATAATAATGACCTATAAAAGTCTTAGTTCATACAAATATTTTTTCAACCTTAAATTTTTTTGTTTTCACCCCAGGGGATAGTTAAGTTAAGTATGAATTCCCAATGTTCAGTGGATTTAAAAGACGACATGCTATTGGACCTATTTTTAATCAAAATCATTTTGTAATTCAACCAATTATTTTTTGTTTATATCCAAGTTCCCAATTAGACATATATACAATGTGGCATGCAATCATAAATATGTTCATACAGATTTCTATATTGAATTAAATATTTCATTTTTTAGCACTTGCGCTCTCTTTTTACCATTGATAATAGAAACGATTTAATTGTACAAAGCTAGCACAAAAGACCTGGGGTTGGATTAAAAGTTCCTATAGCTTGAGAATCATCAAATACCCCCAGGGGTGTTCAAAAACTTATGACAACAAACACCTGCGTGGCATTTGGCATTTTATGTAAAAAAAGTTTTTTCATTTTTGGGTTTTTTAAAATGGAAGCCAAGGGTACTGTACTTCCGTATGACTTGGTAGAAATGTTGAATATAAAATATAGGTGTTTGACTTATATACTAGGTGTTTCACAATGGAGATACTTAACTTACAAAGGTGTTTCCTGAGGAGGTGTTTGACTTATAGTTGTTTAACATATAAATGAAACAGAGAACTTGGGTGGTTTTGTAGGCAAGCATCTTAAAATTATTTCTACTTTCCATTACTTTTTAAAATGCTCAATGACCAATACTCTGCTTAATACCCAAACATTCCCATAGAACAAAATGTAAGTAAAAGCCTGTTATGCTTGTCATTTAAAAATATCATTATTTGTAATGAAATTCCAACCTAATGTTTCAAATATAGACTTTAACAGGGTATTCAATGGAGAGACGGGTTAGCAGACTTTTCTCAGGATTTGTATAATAAAGTCTAATAATTTTTAACGCACATTAATCCAAAAATAATTTTTAATCAATTTTGTGTCACCCATTGTATTTATAATACACCTGCAAATAATGTTAATGTAATTTCTTATAACTTTCAACACTAACTGTGAGTTTACTTTAATTGACTTGATTTTTTAATTACTTCTCAAAAGTTTAAAATTTTAATTGTAAACACATTTTTGCCAAGTATTTGTGGTTTAAATGTATGTATGACAATACAGTGTATGTAAATCAATAAAAGAAATATAAGTCTAACATGCGATTGGATGTGTCACATGTTCAACATCTATGAGGGAGGAGTGACTCTTTCGAATGAACACAGAGTAAAGTTATTTCCGCATTTTTTTGTTCAAATTTTCATTCACAAATATAATTTTAGAGAGCAATACGTGCTCAAAAACATCAACGTCAAAACACATCAAAGCATTTTGTATGAGTAACATTATGCACATAATATATAATATAATGCAGACTTTTTACTGAACTGGGACTCGAACCTGGATGAACCCAGAACCACTTTTACCTGAGGTGCATGGTCACTAGTTCTAGAGCTGTTCTAAGCTAGCTATGATAATGTCTAGGATAATGATGGCACAACACTGGGGGATCCAGAAGCTAGCAAGGGGGGGGGGGGGTAACATTTCAAGTTATGAAAAAAAGTTTTGGTGCTTGAGCTGGAAAAAAATGTGGGCCCCTCAAACGTTGGATTTTTTAAAAATTTTAGCTTAAAAAAGCCCAAAAAGACCCATATTTTGAGGTATTTCAACATTTTCTAGTTATGTGATTGACTCACAAGACATCAATCTATCCAAAGCTATCCAGTATTTGCATATGTATTGCATATGTATTCTTGTAATGAACTAACACATTCTCAGACACAATATTTTCTATTTCTTTGAATGGCTTAAATACAAGCAATGAAAGGGTATTGTGAATGTTTTAACTACTCTTGCCCAAATCTCTGCCGATTTACAATTATCAACCTTAACAGAGTAAAATTACCTTTTAATTAAGATATTTCCATCAATGATTAAGTACCCGATTGTTTGAAACTGAGTGGCTCTCAGTAAAACATTTTTTCCGATTTCAATAAGGTGGTCGTTTTAATTACTTTTAATTACACATATCATTCCATTTCAAATAAAACTTTCTTGACTCGATGACTTTTCTTTCATTCATCAACACTTCTCTCAAACAAACTTCAGGAAGTACGATTGATTGAGGTAAATGTTTACTAACCCCCACAAAACATATAAATGGCAAAACTTTCAACATTATAATCCTGAATAAGATCAAGGGAAAATCAACACTACTGTTTACAAACCGATTGTTGAGATTGTATTGAAATTCAATTTGATACCAATTTTGATACTATTTTGCGCTGCTGAAGAAGTCATGAATTATTTATGCCTTGAAATGAAATATTTTGTGAGGGTAATTAGTTATTGTTTTTTGGCTCACAAATATTTTTCATTGCTGAGATTGAACAGAGAATCCCGGCAGAAAATCACCTGAACTGAGAGCTTGATCTGTATAGTATTTCACATAGTCAGTGTTTATATTCACCAATACTCACTGTTTAAGATAGGAGAGACAGGGGAGGGGGTTAGGGAGGGTACTTGAGATTTTATAGATGGGAGGGGTGGTGTAAAAATAAGATAGAGAGATGAGGGAGGGGGGAGGGTTAGGGAAAGTTTTTGGGGATCTAATAGATCAGCATGGTGATGTAAAAAAGATTTTGATTTGGGAAAAGGGAGGATATCATTGACAATGATTTATAATACTAAGGGAGCCAATATTACAACTGCAATATCAAAACATGTACATGCAAATATTTAAAATCATAACCAGATTGATAAAACAATTAGATTTGATTGATCCAGGCAACCTGAAATTAGATTATGACTACAATTATGAAGTAACAGTGCCTTATGTGTTAAACAATCTCAATCAATAGCACAATCATAACCAAGAACACAATCACAACCAAGAACAGAATCACAGCAGACAAGAACACAATCACTACCATACTATCACACAGCATAAAATCAATAATACTTACCATTCGTAATGTTTCCGAGTTGTTCGTTGCTTTCAAAGTATGACATCAATAAATTGTGGAGTTTGCTATATTTCTTATTCATGTGATGTAGCTTATTCTTTAACGTTATCTGTTCAAGTTTCATCTGACCCAAATCTCTTGTTAACGATTTAACATTCGGGTCACTATGGTTACGCTTTTCTAGTTTTGCAATCGATTCTCTCATCTTTTTGTTTTCTTCGATTAATGCGTCAACTTGCAATCGTTCATCAACAACAAGCTGTTCTAAATTGGTCGCGATGGATTTGAAAGTATCGAGGCCATTCTTAACTCCTTGGATCATATCATTGGCAGCTGCAAATTTCTCTTTCACCAAATTTGCAGATTTCTGATGGACCTTTCGAACACGTTCCTTTATTTTTGCCGTTAGGTCAGTTTTAAGTTGTCTCATTTGGGAGTAGGTTACGTATTTTTTCTGGTGATTTCCATTGTCTGTATCGCCCGTATAATCATTTGTATCGACATCTCCGGCTCCCCACTCTGTTTTCCTGTGCTTACGATAACGTTTGTACTGTCCCCGGGGTTCAGTAGTTTGCTCCGTACCTGTCTGAGTAAATGGAACTATATTGGAATCCTCCCCCTGCGCTAACTGCATGTGGTGTTTCATTAATGACCGCTTCCTACCGAGTTTATCATGATGCCCATGGACATGTTTTTTCTTTCTCGGCTGATCATTCGAGATTGATTTTTTCGGTTTAATTGGCTTAGGAGATTCCGTCATGGCTGCTCCCTCAGCTGCAAGAGCCTCAATATGTTTCCATGATGATTTTGGGGGTGGTTTTGGAGCTTTTGATGCTTTACGATGACTCTCTCGAGCACGTTCCCTTTCTAACACTAACCTTCCAGAACTGTCTTCCACAACACGTGTAATAACTCTTCCTCCATTTCTAGTTCCCCTAACTTCAGGGTTTATGATGGCCTCATCATTGACTGGCCAGTCTTCAGTTTGACCATTATTGTAGTCCCCACATACTAATGTTGTCCAAAGACAAAGCAATCCAAGTTTATAAATTAATTCCATAGTGATTTTCAGATTTTTCATATGCGTTGTCACAGTTGTCACGGTAACATCACATTTTAGTTGTCATGGTTACCAATTCTTTGTACCTGGAACACAATAAATCAATTAATTTATTAATTACTTTAAATGACATTTATATTAATTGGTCACTATTAATATATATTTAATAAATAGTTCATAAAATGATTGTTACCATGGAAACCAAATCATCAATCTCTTAAAATCAAAAAATTGTATTGGTGAATGATCATTTTATAACTATTAATCAGCCAACACTAATTAACAACCATTGATTTATAATAGCAAGTGGTAAGGTATAATCAAATTTCTGTAAATAACTCCCAAAAATGCAAACTTCAAAAAAAGAAACTTTTCAAATCAGACATGCAAGCCAAACTGTCCATATTTGGTTCCCACCTTCACTACCATAGCAATTTATAACTGAACCTTAACAAATATATATTGTGTACTGAAACGATATGACAAAATGGTCATTTTGTATTTCCACCTAAATCACCTGAACGATCACATATGTGTGTATAGGCATAAATCACGAGACAAACTTCTTTCTCAATTTGGAGATAACATCTGAAGTCAATATATTATACATGGGAAAGGTGATTTATTCACCATGGTATGTGTATGTATAACTTTGTAGGGATAGATAAAGGTGTAGAAAATGCAAAAAGGGGTGGTATCAAGAATTGTAAAATGTATTATTAGTACTTGCATTAAAGTTCTGTGCTAAATAAAAAAAAACTAAAACTGTGGAAAAACTATCCAAGTATCGAAACATACCTCCTTTGGCTTAACAATAGCCTAAGTTAACCTCACCAGATATTTATAATTACCTCACCTATTTACATTTGCCTCATATATTTTTTATAATTGCCTTACCTATTTACATTTGCCTCATTTATTTATATTTGCCTCACTTATTTATATTTGCCTCACCTATTTACATTTGCCTCACTTATTTACATTTGCCTCACCTATTTACATTTGCCTCACTTATTTATATTTGCCTCACTTATTTACATTTGCATCACCTATATACATTTGCCTCACCTATTTACATTTGCCTCACTTATTTATACTTGCCTCACCTATTTACATTTGCCTCATATATTTACATTTGCCTTACCTTGTACTTATATTTGCCTTGCTTAATTTTTGATCCTGCCTGACTCTGCTTGATATCCAACTGCATTAACCATGGAGCAAGAATTAGCAGATCACTCATCAATAATATATTTGATTCAGATATTTACCAAACATGCATTTTTGCATGTCTGATTATTTATGCCATATCGAACAAAATAATTATCTCCAATTACAAAGTATGGTACAAAGCATAAGATGTGAAAATAACAAAACGTGAAAATGACAGGTCGAACATAGTTCATCAAGGAATTGATCACATAAATATTTAAAAATATTTAACAATAAATCCTGCATCAAAAATGTTGAGATATCACATTTTCTTTTTGTGATATCATAAAAACTTGATGAAACATCAACAAATTTTTGCTATGCATATGTACTCAACACCCTTAATTGTACAGAAATGCTAAAAAATGAAACATTTCATTCAAATTTTAAAGAGAAAACAGAGAAATTACCATGGCCAAAATTGATAATATTGAGAAATCATCCTTTACTTATCAGAGAGATCTCATGGATTGCTGTGACTTTCAAGTGTAAAGTTGTTGGGGATGAAGAAGTCAAAGAAAACTAATACTTATCAAATATGTCACCCTTACAAAAAAATACAGTGGAGATCCCTTGCAAAAAACTGAAATAAATGTAAGAAAATACCAAAATAGCTTAACAAGGGAGGTTTGTTATCTGGATTTAGATAAGAAACAGAGAAAGGATAATTCAACTAAGGAAGTATAAATCAATGAACTTCATCAGGGAACAACAATTCTATTTCTGGTTTTCATTGGGATTGTCAAACTAACAAAGGTAATTGGGAAATTACTAATTGATTTTAATATCCGGCTTTGTCAATTTAGACTGTTCAATTATAGAATATCCATTTGGGAAACAATTTATGTTTTTACTATAGAGGCAAAATCTACCAAATATTATCAACAATTATTTTTATGGTATTGGGAAGCAGATTATACTTGGGTCTAAAATTCTTGATTTTTTGACTAAAACTAAACATAGAAGATGATGTACATTCTATATAATTAACTATGATTAAAATAAAAATCTTAATTAGAATAAAATTATCCCTTAGACAAAATAATGTACAACTTCATTATAGTTAACGCTATTGTTAGACCAAAAATGTTAATCGTAAAATTAGTTCACAAGGCCTTAATTCACTTGAAACACTGTGAACCATATACCGACTTCTCTGGCCTTAGCATTGATTTATATTTTCTAGGTATGATAAAGAGATGATAAAATCCAATCTGCTTTATCCAAATAATTTTAATGGACATTATATCTCTATGTTAAGTGTACATTTGACACCACTGGTCAGATCAAAGTACTTAGAAATAAAAACCTGCCTTCTTAATAATCTTATCTTGTGACCAAATCTGAAGCTGACATGAAATTTGAAATATTTCTGACTACATATGTCCTTGTCATACTTATTTCTCAAATTATATCTTGCTCTCAAGTCCTTGTGAACCATATACAAAGATTTCCTTGTGCTGAAGACATCGGGGGGGGGGGGGGATCCCGAGCCTCAAGATTATAAGGGTGAGACGGAAAGACCTTACATAAATAAACAACAAAAGAAATATGTTTGTATTAATGATCATTCCTTGTCATGTCTATTTCTTAAAATTAAAGTTATAAAAAGAATCCAGCTTTATGGCCTAGTCACATAGCCCGGCCGATGTCCGGCATCGGTAGAGCTTGGTGGATTTTTTTGGTGCCACCGAGCTCTCCTCATCGGAAGCAGAGCTCGGTGACGTGAACGGACTCCGTCCGGACATCTTCAGGTACTATACTTTCCAAGGCTCTGTCCCACATCGGCCGGAGCTCGGTCGGAGCTCGGCCGGTGTCCGTTAAAAAAACCTCGTCCTCTGGTTGTCTCAGATGCACGGGACACCGACCGATACTCGGCCGTGCACCGGCCGACGTGTGTTCTGATGTGGTTACGATGGGGCTGCGATGAGGGAGCTCGGTGAGAGCCCGGTGAAATTTAACTCCGAAGTTAAAATTTCACCGAGCTGCCACCGATGCGGTTTTAAGCAACAAACGCCACGGATGTCCGGCCGGTGTCCGGCCGGTGTTCGGCCGAGTTCGGTGAAAATTGCATCGCTGGCTCATCGGAACCTCATCGGCCGGGCTATGTGACTAGGCCATAAGAAAAATGTTATTTCAAAAATCATTTTAATATTATATGATATAATATCTTGTTTCTAAAATTTCAAGATTATAAAGAGAATCTAAATATTAAAAAGCATATTAAGACAAGAGGAAAGCATATTGCCGTAATTATCATTCCTTAACATGCCTATATTCTAGAAATTTAAAAAAATTCACACTTAAATAACCCAAAGGTTTTTGTTCAGAGATTTAACCCCTTAATACTAAAATTATGGGGAAGGCTAAATTATGTTTTTTGCTCTTTTTTCAAAATTCACCCTCAAATGGCCCACAGGTTTTTGTAAAGGAATATAACTCCTTTGGCGGCCCCCTAGGCCATATTATAATTAAGGAGAGGCAAAATGACATATAAAAAATATTCTGAATTTCACACATTTTCTAAAAAAATCAAAAAGGTTCACTTTAAATACCCAAATTGAATGTTTACAAATGTGTTGTTCTATTCTATGTTACTGCGTGCACATGTTTTCTGGTTTCAATAATTTAAAGTGAAACAACCGCAATAAATGCACCTACATTCATTTGTATATTTTATTACTGAATATACTTTTGTCTCGGGGGGGGGGGGGGCCTAAGATCTTGCATACGAGACTCTGGCTAAAGAGAGTAGAAAAACATGATTTTATTGGATATATGGTAAAGTAGGTTAGGGATCATGTGGGAGTTGACAACTGTAAAAAAGTTGAAAGTTTGTTTTGCTATGTTTTACAAACTAATTTGCAGTTTCACCTAATAATTAAGGCTATTACTAGGTTCTTCAATCTCAGAATACAGGCTCAGGCCCGTAACCAGAATTTCCCAAGGGGGGTTCACTTTTCCAAAAAATTCTAGGGGGAGGTCACTTTGGCAAATTTGGCCAAAAATCACTCAAAAAATAATCAGAATGGTGAAAAACTGCATGAAACCCCCGAAACCCCCCCCCTGGCTACGGGCCTGAGGCTTCCACAAGTTCTACCTCAAAGGAGAATGCAGTTTCTTAATTTGCTTAACTTTTGAAGAATCATGTCAATATCAATATCAAAGAATAACAATGGTAAAAATCTGGCTTGTGATCTTAAACAGAACTAGTGGATCACAAAATTAAAGCAAGCACCAAATAAAAGCAATTTAGTATCTTAGTGAAAAGGCAAAAGCGTCTGATGTGGGATGAAGAAGGATCGACTCTTTTTCATCCCAGGCATAGATCTGAATTCATTTATAGAAGTTAAGGAACTAGGCTAACTGAATCCTGATTCTGTGTCTGTTCGCAAAACACAAATATTTATCACTGCCATGTCATTCAATGGATTCAGTTAAAAGTAATTACCTGTAGACAGAATATAACTCAACAATACAGAATAAACATAAAGACATGTGGAAAGTGTATTACTTAGTTTCTCAGACAAAATGAAAGAAAAGGTTATACTGTATGTTACAGAATTCAAATAATTTTTCTTATACAGCAAAACCTCTAAACGTGAACAACATTCTGAGTCCAAGCCTTGAAATTATAGATTCGCAAAAAGAAATAATTGAGCCAGGCCACAGGAAAAGGGGTCTTATCACAGACTTTTTCAATGATTGATTTTTTTGTTTTTCTTAAAAAACACAAAGAGACCTTTCAAATGAGCCATGGCTTGTATCTTAACAATATTGTCCTTGCGGTTATAGACCAAAAAGACTGATTTTATTAGCACATTTTCCTCTAATCTTGGGCACATTTTTGGCTCTGTAGCACAATTAAAATTTTTGT